AATTCCTGGGCTCAAGCAATCCTTCTGCCTCAGCCTCCCGAGTAGCTGGGACTACAGGCATGTGCCACCATGCCCGGCTAATTTTTTCTGTATATTTTTAGTTGTCCAGCTAATTTCTTTCTATTTTTAGTAGAGACGGGGTCTCGCTCTTGCTCAGAGCTGGTCTCGAACTCCTGACCTCCAGCGATCCACCCGCCTCGGCCTCCCAGAGTGCTAGATTACAGGCGTGAGCCACCGCGCCCAGCCCTCACTCTAGGTTTTTATGGTCTCCTTTCCTATCCCTCCTCCCATCACTTTTCTTTCCTTATCTAATAAATCTTCCCAACCTCCGAAAATCCCAAAGAGTCTTCAAACTAGTACATGGCTAGGTATTAATAAATAAATCCTTTGTTTTTTAAATCTACAAAATAAGGAAGTTCACTTACAGTAACTACTACGGTCCTTTCCAACTTTATAATTCTAGAAATCTTGATGGTGAACTTTGTTTTTCGTCTGAGTCAACATCAGAAGGGATATAACTAGAAATTAAAACATTCCAGATGATAGGGCTTTTGTTTGCAGAGTGAATCGTACACTTTGTCTTTTACCTTTTAATCACTTCTAAAGATTGGCTAATTTTTTTAGAATTAATCGAGTGAAATATTCTATAAGATTTATTATTGCTGGGCCTTGGGGGAAATGAAAAATTGGTATATCATTTAGTAATATTTGTACTGGAAAATTTCTAAAGCTTGGTTTCTAGATAGGAACAGATTCAAAAATATTTGGTAAAGCCTCTTACAAAAAGAAATAGTGTGCCAGTTTATATATGCACACACAAGACTGATTGTATAACCTAGTGAAGCCATGAGAATTTGCAGATTAGTATAAAGTTTTGATATCATGCACTTCTAATAAATTTTATATTTTCTAGTGGCGGGTAAGAAAAGAAGCTATGATGGGTCTGGCTCAGCTTTATAAGAAATACTGTCTTCATGGTGAAGCAGGAAAGGAAGCTGCAGAGAAAGTCAGCTGGATAAAGGACAAACTTTTGCATATTTATTATCAGAACAGCATTGATGACAAGTGAGTAGAATGTCAGTAGAATGGTTGAGTTTAAAACTATTTTTAGGTTTTTAAAAGTTATTCCTGTTTAATATTTTAATGATTTATTTCTAAGATTAGAAATCACTTTTTACATATTTGTGCATACTGTGTTTAAGCAGGACTCTATCCAAGATTATAAGGTAGTCTAATAATAATGAAATAGGCCTGGACTTTGGAGTCAGATGGAACAGAGACCAAACGTTCACTCTGTCCCTTATTAGATGTGGGCTCTTGCACAAGTGACTTGACTTCTGTGTACCTTGGTTTAGTATAGAAATGAAGAATGCCTTCCCTATAGAATTGTCATGGAGATTAAATAAAATAATGAACGTAAAGTACCCTAGTCTGTTGCTTGGCAATACAGCACTATTTAGTAACTACTAGTTATTATTTTTCTTTTCGCAACACTATCACTACCAACAGAGGAATCACTAAGTTGTTTTCATTTTCTGGATGTTACTTACAATTCTGTATTGGATTGTACTAATGGAACTTGGTTTTTGCAGAATACTTTCCAATGTTTTATCGAATTCGGCTGACTTGTTAGGTCATCACTGGATATGTATTTCATTAGTTAATGAAGAGCTCTAGTATTTTTTTATTCCAGTGTTATTGAATAAATAATAAAAGCTTAGCAAGAAGGATATTCCAATATTGGTAAAGAATTTAGACTGTGAAGAGAAGAAAGATCAAATGTGCACTGAAAAAACTATATTTTTTGGAAGTAATATAAAGGCAGATCTCTCTATTTTTAATACATGACAACGTGGGAAAGAAGCTGAACTGTAACCAGAGGAAATTAATGAGTTTCTTGAGAATTAGCTGTACCTGTGTTTATAGCTTTATATGTCATGTTAATGAGTTTGCTATAGCTCTGGGCTACTAAAGACAAATAGGTCAAACAGCCTAATACCCTGTGTTTGAGAATAATATTTAACCCTTCTCAACCAGATGTTTCATACTGACAAATTATAAAGTAAAGCTACAAATAGAAACTGTCTCTAGATTTAAAAGAACTACACTAAAAGTTGTTCAAGGAAAGGAATGATCATATACTGATATTTTCTGCTGTACATGCATACATAGCTATCATCATTGGTATACTATCTTTGTACCAGAGAGTTAAAATATAAAATGGCTATTGCTTCTTAAAAATAGAGCAATTATGTTACTTGAGTTTTTTTGTTGTTGTTGTTTCATAGACTGTTGGTAGAGAAAATCTTTGCTCAGTATCTTGTCCCCCACAACCTGGAAACAGAAGAAAGAATGAAATGCCTGTATTATTTATATGCTAGTTTGGATCCAAATGCTGTGAAGTAAGTTACTCTTCAGATGACTGATGTCTTTCCTAAACATTTCATAAAATTACTTTATTTTATTTAATTTATTGCTGAAGGGATTGTTGCTGCTTCTATTTGAATTTAGAACCTCAGGTAGGCCGGGCACGGTGGCTCACGCCTATAACCCTAGCACTCTGGGAGGCCGAGGTGGGAGGATTGCTTAAGCTCAGGAATTTGAAGGGAGCCTGAGCAAGAGCGAGACCCCGTCTCT